CGCAGGCGTGTGCGGCGTGGGCGGAGTGTCACAGGCCCATTGCATTATGGGTGTTTTCAGCACGCGACGACCAAAAGGTTGGCCATCACTGGTAAAGGATTTCAACCTGGGATATAACCTACGCCTCTAATTCTTTTTGCTCTTGGTTGCAAGGCATATACTTACGTCGGTCTCGAGAAGATTGTGCATACTCGTCTCGGCCACTTCCTTAGACTCTTCAAACTTCTCCAAAGCTTGTCGCAATTCTTCGTCGGGAATTTTCCCTTGGCGTTTCTTTTTGTAGTCAAAATCCAAACGTCGCCCTTCTAACTTTTTCAGGTGGTGCTTTTTGGGGGAGGAGGAAGGAGAAAAAGAGGAGTAAATAGTAACCAAAAAAGAAAAAAAAAAGTAGAGATGGGGTACGCTCGTCTTTTCCAAGTTAAACTATTTTTGAATGCAAATTCTTCCAAATAAACGGTTGGTTACATTGGAGAATATTCTCCTGCACTGAGCTGGATTGGTTGTGCAACGAAATGACTCTGCAAATGGGATCATTTTGTTCAATTAATCACATCTGCATAATATTATGTAAGACATAATTTGCAGAATATGATATAAATACAGGGAGTCCAGGGCTTACAACCACAAATGAGCCAAAATTTTTGTTGCTAAGCTGAATGAGACATTTGCTAATTTTGCCCCATTTTACGCCCTTTCTTGCCATGATTGTTAAGTGAATTTCCGCAATTGTTTGTCAGATGGGGCAAAACCCGCTTAACAATTGTCTCGCTTAGCCACAGGAATGTTGGGTTCCATTTGGGTCATAAGGCAAGGAATATCTGTAGTTTCCACCTTATTTATTGATATTTAGGTGCTGATGTGACAATATCAAGATGAGAATGTAATATAAAATTAAAATCAATTAGATTTCAAGCTTCTGACTAATCAATTCAGGAGATAGAGGAACGACATCCAACGAGGGATCCCTTAAACCAAAGCCAGATTTTAAGGCCTTCCTGTAGATCAACCATAGCCCTTTTAAGATGGGTGGACTTCAACTCCCAGAATACCCCAGCCAGCATTGCTGGCTGGGGTATTCTGGGAGTTGAAGTCCACCTGTCTTAAAAGGGCAATGGTTGTGCCATCATGGTGGGATCCACAAGATCTCTTGTTCCCTTCAAGGACACGATCCCATCCAACGCTCTCTCTCCTTCCAAAATATCCCCTTCAGGAGATTACCTGGATCTCTTTCAAGTCCTTGTCGCACAAATTCTGAAGGGGATCGATGAAGTTCTGCTTGACCTCGATGTCCAGAGAATCCTTCACTTCGGCCAGGCGCTTCATAGATTCGCCGGCGTCCAGCAGGGCGTCCCCTTTATCCGCCAGGAGAAAAGAGCAGATCCGTTGGGAATTGGGAAGCAGATGGAAGAGAAGGGGATCGACTGATCCTTATGAGCAAGGTTCACACCTCAGAGATTTCTGACCCGGCCTATACAATCTATGAGGAGCATTGCTGAGAAGCCGATAATCAGGGATCGGGAAAGAATTAATCCTAGTTCTCTCTGGTCAGAAGGATCAGGAAGGATCTATCGGAGTGATCTAAGGAGCTAAGGAGAACATGGTCAGAAGGATCAGGAAGGATCTATCAGAGTGATCTAAGGAGCTAAGGAGAACATGGTCAGAAGGATCAGGAAGGATCTATCAGAGTGATCTAAGGAGCTAAGGAGAACATGGTCAGAAGGATCAGGAAGAATCTATGACAATCCTAAACACTCAGAGAGCCATTTGGACCCGTTTCCCACAGAAAACACTGGGGGCCACAAAACCCTTCCTGTGCCTGACTATTTCCTAAGTGGCCACAAAACTAGCCTATATAGTTGAATTAAATGTTCTGCTTTCTTCTGAAACTTTCCTTTTTCTTGGATTTATCCAGGGGTGGCCTACCACGGTCGAAAAACTCAATAAATTGCATGCTGGCAGGTGTCACCCATTGGCGGTTGTGACGCATATTTTGAGCGACAGGGAGCCACAGCAGAGGGATGAAAGAGCCACATGTGGCTCCAGAGCAGTGGGTTGCTGACCCCTGATCTATGAGAAGGTCTAAAGGTGAGATACTGTTAGAAACACTGGATTAGATGATCTCAGAAGTCTTTTGCAATCCTTACATTCTACGATTCTTGGATTTTGACCCCTCCTCACATATTACTTTGCCTAGATGGGAAGTCAGGCTGTGATTGAGAAGAGAAAAAGAATGGGCCTACTGTATTTTTCGGAGTATAAGACGCACCAAGATTTTGAAGAGGCAATTTTTTAAAAAAAAAAGTTTTTCCACTCTGCAGACCTCTCAAAAATGGCCCGTTTTTTGCAAACACGGGCCCATTTTTTGTAAAAAAAAAAAAAGGGGGGGGGGAAACACATGCATAGCCTTTAGGAGGCTTGTAGAGTGCTCCTGGGGGCTGGGGGAGGGGCAAAAACGAGCAAAAAATGGCCTCTCTGGCCTCTCTCATTTTTGCCCTCCCAAGCCCCAAGAAGCACTCTAGAAGCCTCCTAAAGGCTATGCATGCCCTTTTTTGCAAAGGGGGCAGGGTTTCGGGAGGCCAAAAAATGCTGTATAAGACGCACCCCGATTTTCACCCTCTTTTTTGAGGGAAAAAGGTGCGTCTTATACTCTGAAAAATATGGTATATATAATAATCTCTCTTCTCCTTTTTCTGCGCAATGGATGACTCTAGTTTTATTTTCTCCTTGTTCCTCGGCTGATCATTATAAACAAATTAAAAATCATGATTTAAAACAGACCCAGACAATCCCACAAAAGCCTCTTTCTGCGACTCTTGAAGCCATCCAAAGTGGCTGAGAAATTGCAAATTTTTAACCACTTGAGGAATCATCATACCCACCGCAGCTCAATTGCAAATTTAATGTAAATTTCATTCCATAATTTAAATTCAATCCAATGCCATTTTCGTTTGTCCCCTAGCCCCTTTATCCTGGGCCTATATTTCTGGAATATCGCCCTTAGCACATCGTTCCAAAATTCGATACGCTTCTGAATGTCCACCACATCTGGAGGACATCAGCTGGCACCAACAAGCCCCATGGAAGCCAGCAATACAGACTGGAATGTCTCACTATTTTGCAGAAGGTATCCAAGTGTTACAGGCCAGGATTCACAGGGTGTATCTTAAACTGAAACCAGGAGTCAGTTCAAGTACATTTGGAAAGCATTTCTCAAGCAAGGAAGAAAGGAGAGAGGGAGGGAGGGAGGGAGGGAGGGAGAAAGGAAAGGAAGGAGGGAGAGAGTGAAATATAGAGGAAGGAAGAAGAAAAAGAAGGGAATAAAGGGAGGAGAGAGAAGGAAGGAAGAGAGGGAGTAAGGAAAAGAGTGAAGATGATAAAGGAAGGAGAAAAGGAACAAAGGGAGAGAGAGAAGGGAGGAAGCAGGGAGGAAGAGTGTGAAAAACAGGAAGGAAGGAAGTAGAAAAAGAAGGGAATAAAGGGAGGAGAGAGGAGGAAAGAAGGAAGGGAGTAAGGAAAAGAGTGAAGATGAGAAAGGAAGGAAGGAGGAAAGGAACAAAGGGAGGAGAGAGAGAAGGGAGGAAGCAGGGAGGAAGAGAGTGAAAAATAGAGGAAGGAAGAAGAAAAAGGGAATAAAGGGAGGAGAGAGGAGGAAAGAAGGAAGGGAGTAAGGAAAAGAGTGAAGATGAGAAAGGAAGGAAGGAGGAAAGGAACAAAGGGAGGAGAGAGAGAAGGGAGGAAGCAGGGAGGAAGAGAGTGAAAAATAGAGGAAGGAAGAAGAAAAAGGGAATAAAAGGGGGAGAGAGAAGGAATGAATGGAGTACGGAAAAAAGTAACGATGAGAAAGGAAGGAAGGAGGAAAGGAACAAGAAAAGGAAGGAACAAAAGGAGGAGAGAGAGAAGGGAGGAAGCAGGGAGGAAGAGAGTGAAAAATAGAGGAAGGAAGAAGAAAAAGGGAATAAAAGGGGGAGAGAGAAGGAATGAATGGAGTACGGAAAAAAGTAACGATGAGAAAGGAAGGATGGAAGG